CTAGTCAAGAGGTCACTTTCTGTCTCGTCCAGGATTGTCTTCACGTCGTCGCCATCGATCGCCTCTAGGTGTTGCAGATTTAGAAGAGTCACCAAGCCACAGCTCGGTTGCTGTTCATCGTAGAAGCCCTCATTAACCTCTGCTGACCTAATGGGATTGATATTTTCTTTGACAAACGATGAGCTATTGAGTTGAGTCAAGGGATAGTCAGTCAGGTTAAATACATCAGAGGCGTTGGTAACCACATCATCGAGTTTTCTAATTGTTCGACTTGAGGAACAAGTAGGAGCTTTAATAGTTTGCAGAGGTAATGAAAATTGTAGCGTAGGTGATGAATCTAGACAACCCACTGCAATAGCAGAACTTTCAAGTGGGGATGTCTCATGTAACGGATCTGAGTCTGTTGCGGGCCCAGAAATAGGGGGAATACAGGAAGAGCTTGTTGACTCAAGAATGATTGGTACTGTAGAAACCGAAGCAACAAGCTGTGATTGAATATCAGAAGCTGGCACCGAAACACCAGAATCAATGACTTGGTTCGTTGAAAAGAGTGAATCGTCATAATTTAAAGGCTCGTTAAGCGGCGGGTCATGGGATATAAACGAAGCGACCTGTTCGTCAGAGGCTGGGCAACTGGGCTCCACTTCAGAAGCTACTCCATACGAGTAAAGAAAATGAAAATGGTTAGCAGAAGCATCGTCTTGACCATTTTCACTAGAATCTGCTGTACACGTGTCCGTAATTTCCCTCCTCTCAGCTCTATCCACCACAAGATCTGTATCAACTCCATCTTCGTAGCATTCCTCGGCTCCACAGTCTACTTCCTCACCCTGATCATCGTAATCTCTAGAGGCGCCCGAAATACTGGAAGCAGTAGAGGAACTAGAAAGGACGGATTCGGAGCAAGTTGAATGTGTAGATACTGAGCCATGCTCCACTTCACCAGCTCCACTTTCCTCTTCTTCCTCAATATCCTGAATTTCCCCACCAACTGCATCGATTTCAGCGGATGCTGATTCATCCCTCTCCTCCTCTTCAATGCTTTCTCCAGTATCATCATCTTCTTCGTCATCGTCCATCGGATCTGATTCGGAAATTGATCCTGAATTGGAAGCAGATGAAGCCGATGAAGCGGAGTTAGCAACCGTACCAGAATTAGTCGTGGTAACCGTGATAGTGCCACGAGGGGAGGTCGAAGCCGATGAATGAGCAGCAGAAGAGTCGAGAGCGGAGCTGGTAGAAGCTGGTCTGGCAGAGGCATCCGAGGCAGAAGGCTCGTGACCATTGGTTAGCGCAGAAACAAACTAGAACAGTAGGCATTAAAAATATCCAGCTTGAACAATAACCAATCAGTAGTCGTGGCAAGTAATAAATGCATGAAATGAAGAATACTCAAAACAAGTTCGTAATGAGACAGTTGGAGGAATAAGTAGGAAACTATAATCATCTTAAGGAAAGCTAAAAGTTAAGTTGTAACATCTTGCTGTATAAATCGTCAATATTTATATTTGAATGTCAATGAAAAGTACCCACATTTAATAAGAAAAATAATCATCTCTATTTCAACATCATCAACCTTCTTAACAGTTTGATCAGCTCATAGATTAGAGCAGTAGGCTTGTTTCGTCGACTTTTGGGTGTTCTATAAAAATCAGGATAAGTCAATTCAAATGTTTACTAGCAAACATAGGCGCCGTTTTTAGTCCAACCGTTTATTTGCCTTATTGTTGTGCCTAGTGGTTGAGTATAAGGAAATATGTTGAAGAGGTTGCCTTGCAATTTCTATACATTGATAATATTATTATGATAACGTTATGAGCCATAGGCTAATATGAAATTTAAACAATATCTGGATTTATAGAAGTGGGTTGACCTCATTTTCGCAACTTGGTCTTGCTGTCAGGGAGACTTAATTGAACGCCCCTTGTCTGAAGCCCTCTTCTATAGTAGTTGTCATAATACCCAGCATCAGATCATGGACTTGGTACATTCTCAGACGTTTCGCCGACATCATCAGTGAGTCTTGCCATTCACAGCACCAAGCTACAGACTGGTGAAAAGGACAAATAAAGTCAATCCATCGACCATTCAATCCAAACATCTCAGAAACATTGTCATTAAGCCTGACTCAGCACAAATCGTAAGTTGCTAATGCAAGTGAAGTCATATTAATTGACTGGAACTATATTGAACGATCATGCTTCCTCACCTTAGATCTATTACACTCGCAATTGTAGTTGGGGGTGTCAAAACTAAAACTAAAAGTTGCTTCCATGTTTTTTTCGATCCTTTTAATCAATACTGGTCCATCGGCGCCCCATAAACAAGTATATATATAAGATAAGTCATTGAAGTAAGAAGAAGAAATGAGAATTTGAGAAAAAAATGTGAAGACTTCGCTTAATAAAATCAGGCTGAGTTGATGCAAATACTGACTTTACTCACAGATTAGCTCGACTAAGATGGCGAAAATGTATCATGAAATTCATCCAACCAAAAGCTAGATGCCTTGATATAAAGAATATATAATTTGGAGAATGCTGCATGGAGTTACTTATCATGGGAATAGAAAGTTCTTTATTGTACCGAATACTTTCGTAGCTACTTATAACGATTATCATATGTTTCATTTCTTGAGAATAGCCACAAGGTACAAAAAGTTATCCAAATCCTCGAATCCAAATGCTGCATAGATTCGCTATCTAAATCGAGATTGGATACTCTTTCCAAAAAGATATATACATAGAAGTTTTAGGACATTCCTTTCGCAACTTGGTCATAATGGTAGGAAGACGTAGATGAACGCACCAAGTCCGTAGTCCATTGAATACATGATAATTTCCAGTCGGTCCGTGGACGTAGTACATTCCCACACGTTTCGCCGGCATCGTCAGTGAGCCTTGCTATTCTTAGCAGAATACTACAAGTCGTCAAAGAGACAATTGAAGCCGATCCTTTGACCAATTGTCTGCTAAACAATCGTGCTATTTCTCCTTCTCTCCTGCGCTAATCACCAATCCAACATCCTCATATCACATAATCACTATCATGGACAAAGTCTATGTTAAAACAGGCCTACTGTAAGCTAACCAGCTCTTCCCGCTGCGTCTTTCCTCTTTCTATCCGTAATACCAAGTCACTGACTTGCTATGCCCTAGTCTCTTGTGTGCCAACCTACAAATGTTGTGGTTCTACTTGTTTTGATTAGGCTCTTGGTTTTTGCTTGTTCTTTTCGGGTCTGCTTGCAATTTCTTTTCCTAAAATTAAAGATGTAACGTTGATCTGGTCGTCTTCTTTTTGCTGATCTTACTCTTGCCTGGTCCTCTCAGAGTTAGTGTAGGCAATATGCTAAGTTTTCGCTGATCCTGTCTTCTTCAAGCCTCTTGTTCGGTCAGTATATCGATGACCACTCGGATTTAAGATTTGCTCGTATTTTAACAATATGCACTCAGCCATTCTGTCGATTTCGTGTCACGTTCGAGCAATGTATTCCACTAAATCGAATCTTTCAGTATACATATTCTTGCATTCTTAGATGTATCAGAATCCGTGGGATTATTTCCATTTCTAGCTCCCGCCTTGTCTCTTCTGGATATTTATCCATTATGTTGACAACTTTCACCAGAATAACAATAAGAAAGTTTTTTTTAATTACATAGTGAAAAATGTAACTCCTTCTTTAAGATATCCATAGTTTAGGAATCAAGAGGGATTGAAGATGGGTTTACTACCTTTGTCCTATTGTCGTCTGTAGCAGTTGATGCCTTCAATAGAGAACCATCAAAATTTGCCCGTGTTGGCTTGATCTTGCGCTGTCTTATTATCCCATATCTAAGCAATTTCTTGTCATTCCGCTTATTTATCAGATCCCGGACCCTCTATGACTTTATTCGGTCATGCTCTGGAGTTTTTAAAAAACCATCCAAAGTAAGAACCC